ATCCTCCTGTGACACAGGCTACATCACTTGATTCAAAAGCTACAAACACGAAGGAAGATGGATGATCAAAGGGAATCTCTCGGACAATTAAAAACACTGCGTGTAGCCGCATGTTCAAGTTTTAAGACAAGCCAATCTAAAGTTTTGTGTCTCGGACTTTCCCCAGGTTTGTGGAAAGTCATTATAGAAATAGTTTAAGTATCAAAGAGTTAGGCTACATGATATCAGTGAAGTCTAAGCATGCATCAAGAATGTTATAGAGATACCACAGTGATGCCATAACACAGAATTAGGCTATGTAGGTGAGAAACCCTCAAACAATAGGGCCTATAACAGACTGATATGTTTTACCTGTCACTGATAAGTGTAGCCTATATCACGAGGAATAACATCATGAAGCCACATGTCATTAAAACGCAGTTATTTTCCGCACCGACACACATGGAGCTAGATTTTTCTACAGGACAAACCCACTTTGAACTCATCATTAACGAACTGTGAATTAGGCCTAGTGTAGGAATATTGACATGTCTCAGTCAGGAATAGGCCACTATAAAATGCCCTCTCTCCTCCACTTTAATAACAATTTCAAATATTTTGTCTAAGTCACCAGTGGGCAAACAGACTTGAAATGGCTCTTAATGATCCTGTCAATAAATAAGATAACACAGAAAGACTGCACCAACTAACAGTTCCATATATGGCCTGCTGTAGCTCCATGTAAGTACATGTCATTTGTATTCATAATTAAGGAAGTTTAACCTTTAATGATAATTTTGTTTGGGAACCATTTGAAAAACTATATTTAAGATAGGTAAAAATAAGCAAATTCTTCCGTACAGAGCTCGTGAGCCTGGTAAAGGCAGCATGGTTGCTAGGCCACCACACAAGCTCCGCTACGAGCTGCTCTTAAATGAACGGTGATGCGATCACAGGTGCGCTGCTCATCTGGAATCTGTTCGCTTTTTTCACAAAGTTTCGATCGAGGCTCAGCCAATCACAGCGAAGAACCAGCCCCTCTCAGCTCCCCGCCGCCCGTGTGGAGATCTAATTGGCTGATGCGCAAATCAGTTTCCACAATCCGCGACTGTGTATGAATAAATACCCTACTTGTTGGATATCTGCCCTCCCACTGATTACTATATCACTGGGCACACACAGGGGCTGCATTTAAGCCTGGGAGACTTGAGGGGAAGAGACAGATGCGGGTGCAGGTTTAAAGGCAGAAAAAAAAAACACAATAAAATCAAACTAACATCATGAGTATGAACTACGCGTCTGCGGCGCCCACGCAGAGGTCGACTTCGTTTTTCATTGAGGACATCTTACTGCACAAACCCAAACCGCTGAGAGAGGTCATCCCCTCGCCGTTCTGCAGCTCCCTGGCATCCCGGATGCCCATCCTGGAGTATGGATACCCACTGATGCCGACCCCTATACTGGCGCCACATCCGCACCATCCTCTGCACAAGCCAGAGCATCACCAGTACTTCTTCACATCTGGTAAGCACCGGAAAGATGGAGGCCTCGTAACAAGGAGACTTGTGTAAGATATAGGCTACATAGGTTTTTACTTTACAGAAATGTTGACTGTAGCTACAAATTAAGCTGTATATTAAAAAAGGCTAAAAATGAACACAAATTTTTGCCATTTCAAAAAGGAACGCCATTGTTAATACTAGTCTGATTTACATGACTCTATATTAGGCTGCATTAATGAGTTGGGAATATAAAATAATTTACACTGACAAACGAATTTAAATGAATCCTATCACCTAATACAATTAACTGAACTCTGATCTCCAAGGGTTGAGCACCTCAGAAAATAACAATAACCAGTGTCTTATTATTTTCAGCACATGATCATATTTTACTTTACTGCATTAAAATAGATTCAAAAATTCAATTAGTTCATACAGTTTTATTAATCTTAATGTATGTCCAACTTTTAAAAAGACAATTATTGTTGCTCTGGTTGCTCTATAAATAATGAGGCTAAGCTGAGTTATTGTTTTTACATTCACTAAAAAAAACTATGTCAGTAACAACCAAAATATAAAAACATTAAACGCCAATTCATTCCGATATAGTGAACTTAGTTGATCTAATATCGCATATATTTAGAGTTTTCCCTTGTTTATTTTTGCTGTTGTTGTTATTTTCGTTTGTTATTTTTCATTTAAAAATCACTGCTTCTTGTCTCCTGCAGGGATGCAGATGCCAGCCCTCTTCCAGCACCACGCAGAGTTACCAGGAAAGCACTGCAGACGCAGGAAGGCCCGGACGGTTTTCTCCGACTCGCAGCTGTCGGGCCTGGAGAAGAGGTTTGAAATCCAGCGGTACCTGTCCACACCGGAGAGAGTGGAGCTCGCCACGGCGCTCAGCCTGTCCGAGACACAGGTACACACGCACACACTTAAAAGCACCGTGGTACAAGTAGACCAGGAGATGCAGGGACTCTCGGGGAGTCTGGTCAAGGACAGTCCGACCAATGTATGTTGTCTTTGTGCAGGGGAAAGTGTAGCCTATGTTTTTGAATGCTGTGTAGGCCTATTATTCCCAGCTACAACCCAGAAGAAGACTGGCGATTACAGTAACCACAAAACACAATACATAGGCCTATCAGTGATTCAAAAATAGGCTAAAAAATCACCAAGACGGTATTTATGTGTAGCTGTTAAAGAACAGAGCACAGACAGACATCCAGTAAGTGTATGCAGTGTATTGGCTAAGAACATGATTTTTGTTATTTCACAACTCAATAATTGTTTATGTGGAATTCTGACATAAGTGTAGCCTCTAATAATAAACACAGATACATTTAGAGAATATTTCAAAACAAGTCAGTCTAATACTAAACTTAAAGTAAATGTTTATAGTCTATTTAAATCACTTAAAATGAATGTAACTTAAAAAATAATTTCGGCTTAATATTGATAGGTCTTGGAATTTCTTTAGGCTTGAAATATTTAGGAGCTTTTTTGTAACTTATCCGTGCAGGTAAAAACGTGGTTTCAGAACCGACGGATGAAGCACAAGAAGCAGCTGAGGAAAGCGCAGGACGAGCGGAAGACGCCCGGGGAGCTGGAGCGCTCCGCGGAGAACTCCAGCGAGAGCGAACTGAACGACACCAGCGCGGAGGAGCTGAAACACGGACTGCAGCCGGACTCGTACCTGCTGGAGGAAAACGACGATGACGACGACGTGGACATCGAGGATGACATTTGCTCCACGGATCATCTACTATAGTAGGCTGCGGCGTTGTTTCATAAGCAGAGACGTTCACACTGTAAATGTACTGTAGATAACACACTAAGTTACTGTTTTAAAAATTGGGGGGTTGGGGGTAGTCTCTACAATACAATGTTAATATTTATTCAAACATGCAAAGTGGGGCTATTGATTTTTTTTTTTTTTTTTTTTTTTTACAATTTCCCCTTTAAGTCCATGTACAGGCTGTGGGAATTTTCGTGTTGTTATGTCTGAGGAGACTATAGGCTATATGTTTACACATTCATTATTATCATTATCATTATTATTATTATTATCACTGAACAGTCTAGACATTTTTTTATTATTATTTTCAGACGGAGAATAAAATGGAATAGCCTAGCTCTTGACTGTGTAACATAGATGCATCATGCTTCTCTCCAGACTTTTGCACTTTTAACCCAAAACATTAACATTTCCATGCTTTATTCATCTGCTCGTTTTTCCTATAATTGTCTGCTTTTGATTTTTTATTATTATTATTTCCCTCTCTCTCTCTCTTTATTTTATTTTTTTTTTTTTTGCAGTTTGTCTATATTGTTTCATTTTGGTCGGAGGCTCTGTGCTTCAATGACTGTCGTTTATATTTTTGTGTGTAAATGTATAGTATATATATAAATAATGAATCGGTTTTCGGCTCCGTTTCTTCTGTTACACCTTTTATGTATTTTTCTTTCCTGTTTACATTTTCAGACTGAGAATGGATGATTTAGAAGAGTCTAAAAAACAATCACATAAACATAAACGCATCATTAATGTAGTGTTGTTGTTTACGCTGCACATCTGATCATGTTTTCACGGTCAGCTTTTAAGTTCAAACCGCTGCTGTAACCTCCTGCATTAGCCAACAGTCTTCACTGCGTGGAGCTCAGCTCTGAATGAAATGCTGCTTGTTCTCACTGGGTTTCCTGCCTCGAACCCGCTGAGTTTAAACCAACACACAGAGACGCACAACTGAATGACAGCAAGAAATGACAAATAGGTCAGCAAACAAACTCAAACTTACTCCACTGAGCAGATGATGGTTGTATTCCTCTCATGAGCCTTTACTGATCAATGTCCATGGTCATATTTGTTGTTAAACATTGCTTCGTTGAGGATGAAATTCATCACAAACAGCGTTTTGTCTATTTTTTTTTTTTTTAGCAGAAATCCAGTGAAGTGATCGTTAATAATGGGATTGAAGAAAGTTTTATTTTCTAAGGTAGGCGCATTAAAATATTGAAAATTTATCAAAACTATATGCCAACTAATTAAACATGCAAAAAAATTGTTGTTAAAAATCTAGGTTTATAAGCATTTAATGTATTATTTGATACTGATACTGTTTTTTTTTCTTTTTCTTTTTATTTGTTTTGTTTAACAGCAGTCAGAACTTAATTTTACAGGAATGAGTGCATGTAGTTAAACAGTTAATTTAACTACTCTTAAAACTCCCCAGCATTGTTAATGGAAAGAACTGAACAAAACTGTAATTTTAAAGAACAGAGCCGGTAATTTTTCTATGGGTTGGTCCTGTTGTGTGATTTAATATGGAGCTGGGCTTGACAACAGCGGTGCAGCTTCTTCTGTGTCCTAATAAATATGATGGATGCAAAAAAACAAAAACAAAAAAAATAATTAAAATATTTTTTGTGCTATTTTAGTTTTATTTCATTATTCTATGCTGCAGGATCTGCAGGACCAAATCATCTTTAAATAATCTTGATCAACAGATGTCCATCATCATCATCATCATCATCATCATCATCATACCATACAAATACCTAACATTGTCCCCTCTGGTCCAACAAACAACTGCTGTAGAAGAGTATTAATAACGTGTACTGTCCAGTTACTACTGTTATAACAATTGAGGGTAGAAGGGAAGTAAAGTATTTATTGTAATAATTGATTTGACAACACTTGATTAGAAATGTGTGTAAGAGCCACACAAACACAGACATTTAAGAATCTTAAATCAGCTTTATTATGTGTATTAAATTTGTTTTCCCACAAGCTCTCTCTCTCTCTCTCTCTTTCTCTCTCTCTCTGGGCATTTGCACAATAAGCTGAAATCCTCTCTTTCCTTCGTACTGGATTTGCCATCCTTTCCCGCCTTTTGAAAAGCAATTCATGTCATCTTCAAAATGTGATTCTGATTAACAGGCAGCCGGGGAAAAAAACCATGTGGAGAATAGGCCATGCAGAAGGTGATCAATTAAAAGATTAAGCGTTTTGCAACACATGGACGCATCTGCATTTGGGCCTAATAGCAGGGCCATCAGCTCATTTTCAGGAAGCTTGCCGCCTACTGAAAGCACACTTCTCACATCAAAGCATCCACGTCTGCCTTAGCTTCCCAATGGGCAGAAAGGGATGCTAATTTGGCCCCCTTCATGTATAGCGGTGAAAGACTCCTTCAATTAACTGGATTTCAATGGCAAAAAACGAGTAGGTGGGACCAAAAAAAAAAAAAAGATGCAAGAGACTCAGTCTGGATAGGCAGTGTTTCTCATTAAATTAAAAAGGGCTTGGTCATTTGTTTCAAACCGCACATCTGAGGACTTAACACTAAAAACACAGAGCTTCAAAGAGTCCATGATGGGTTAAATAGAGACTATAATCTAATTAAAATATTGCACAGAGGTAAATAGTGCTTTGATAATGATCTGAGGGTTCAATTAGTAAAATGAGCTGCTTGGGAGTGTTGTGTGTTGGGGAGGAGTTACTACTACGAACATGGCTACAAGACATAGGGACCAATGAATGAAAGAAAAACAAACCCAAAACAGAGACTATCTGGATTACTGTAGGTTTAACAGTGATGTGAACAATGTAATGCGACTAAAATAACAATATGGGAAGTGTGGGCATTAGTCAGTGGTCTGGGACAGTTGGAAGTGGACTATAAAATTTAAGGTTTAGTGCTGTTGGTGATTCTATGACTGCTCAGTGTCACTGTTGACACACAAGAGCGTTCAATCTAAACCCAGCAGGTTTTCAGTGACATTTAATGATATGACAATGACACAAAGTCTGAGACACTACTTACAGTAATATCTGACTATTGAGCAGGTACATATCTCTATATACAGTTACGTTTGATTATATTATTATTATATTATGTATAAATGTATCTACTAAAATCAGTCAAATGTATCAAACCTACATTCCATACAAAAACTCTAATCTTTAAAAGTTTGAGACAAGGCATGACAATCCCACAGTGCTAAAGATTCATCCAAACAACTTCACACTCAGCACTGCACCTCCTTTGGTCCTGAGCAACACACCCTGCAGTGTGTGTGTGGTCAGTTGGTTTATTACTGCTGGAGTTGGCTGCTCTACTCCAATCACATCTGGGTGTTGGCGTAGAAAGTGCCATCGCCTTTTCTTCAAACCCTGACATGCACATATTCCCTATAGGTGCCGCATAGATAAGGGTCACATCAGAAAATAAAATATCTGCCTTAAAACATGTTTTCGCAGAGACTCTACAGAGCACTTTCTATGACTGATTTGTTAGAGGTGCTTTACATATTTCAACATAGTTTTGGAACCAGTAATGTTGAACTAGTTAGTTAATTGCACTTTTTCTTACGTGTCTTGGTGGACATTTTGAGAATCACGTCCACTCCGGCTTCCCCTTGACCAAATCTGGATTTCATGGCTCAGTCACTGCCAAATTTAAATTTTAAGATAATCTACGGGTGACATTTCTGGTATCAGTGTTTAAAACAAACACTTGAAGTGATTTTTTGATCTGTTAACACACAATATTAACAGTAACACAAGACACTGGCTGAGGCTTCAGTTCTTCTCAGAGATTGTCTTTATCTAATTTATCATAATTATTTTTGAAAAATGTGTGAAAATGTGTATGCAGATTTGTTGATGTGACTCTAGGCCTGGCTAATTTAAAAAGACAGAGCCCGGGTTCCATGGTTACTGTAACGTGAACTGAAACCGAACCTGGCTTCAGACAGCAGGTATTTTTCTGAAGAGTGACACAGCCTGCTTTTCTTCCTCATGCCGTTTGGTAAGGAGCTCCAGTCTGGTCAGCTGGGCCACATCCAAACCCTGCAAGCAAGGAGCGTGCTCAGAAAAACCTTCAGCCTGGTGTGTCTGTCTCTGTTTTGGTTGAGACTGGACAGGGGGTTTGGCTATTGTCTTGGCATATTCCAAGGCCTACGAGACAGAGAGAAAGAGAGAGAAATGCAAATTACTAAGTTCTGTATACAAGCTACAGTGGAAAATGGCCCTGGTCCTCCAGAAATATCCACATCTGTCTACTATGATCTTGTACAATACAAGGCACACACCACAGCTGAGGAACTTTAATGATACATTAAATATAATACATCATATGTTTATGTATAATTCTCCATTGGTGACAGCATAACTGTTAGTGGAGTTAATTTTGTAAAACATTTAAACATTTTGAAAAAATTCTCTTACAAAGTGAAATAGCAGGTGCAGAGCAGGTTCATTTCAGAGGATCAAATTAAAGCCTGTCAACAACCCACCCAACTTCTGACCAGTCAGATCACTGGAAAACCAAAGACATATTATTCCTACAGGATCCTGACAAGGACAAAACATTTTACAGTTAAGTGATAAATAATATACTAGCAGTAGATATTTTCAGAGATCAGTGAAATCGTTTTGCTGCTTCTTTCCACATATTCACTCTGGTTTTAAAACAACTTCTAACAAACACTAAACGAATACATACAGTGATGCTTTTATTCTTCTTCCATTACTGCAGCCCAGAATAACATGAAGAGACTCTGTGATGAAAATCTAATGAATGAACATGTTGAGTCAGTTTGACCTCATCAGACATGATGAACTACTTCTCTTCTCTTTGACAGCAGCAACAGTCCGACAATACTTTTTTTTTTTTATGCATCACGTATTCATAACAATCAGTTTGATCATCATCAGACAACAGAGAAAAAAAATACTCAGTTAAAAACCTAATGATTGTTGTTCTACTTTATTCTTGGGTCTGACAATGTTGCTCAATGTAATAACTCGCTTCTTTGACATGAAAAGATATCCTGGGTATGTTAAACTTGCTTCATAGTACAAACCTCAGTTCCAGGATCAACGCTGTGCACAACTACCAGGCTACAACCATGTAGTGACATTCTCCATAAGGCTACTACCAAATAAACTCAGAACATTTCATTTTTTCCTATTGAGTCCGTCAAACATTTATGTGACATGATGACCATACATGCACATGAACGAACACACCCATAAATACAGTATGTACACACTGCCATGAATTGGGGACCATACACATGTGCACATCTATGCAACACATGTAAAATGATTGTGATTTTATTTTGTCATTTTGTCAGTGTCATGATTTTTATATTATTATGTATGATAATGCCACTCTTTATTATGTTCTCAATTTAACTAATGTACTCTTGGTAGTGAAGATATGTTGGGACCTTTTAAAGCCTAACCAGGGACAGGAGTTATAAATTAGCCTTGGCTACAAATCCTGCATGCAACAACACATACAGATACAGATTAGACATACATGTAGCTGATGATGAAGAATGTATACTTAATTAAGAATTATTATTATTATTATTATTATTAGTATTATTATTATTTAAAACCATGTCAATGTTCTAAGCTTCGGGGTGGGTGATGGGTGAACAGCAGAGCTCCCTGCACTTTATAGACGCTCTTTATTTGGGTAGCGGTATGGAATAGGGGCAACAGTTTCCACAATATCAATTACTGTAATACCACTCAACTAAAATATCATCACTATATATATATCCCACTAACTCAGTTCATTCGTAAAGTGCTGTCACACATTTCACTTTTATTTTGATGGTTTAATTTGATCCTCTCCATTGATGTCATACACCTGTGGTCAATGTGTGCTCAATTCACAAGGAAAAATGAAAATTACACCAAACCAAAAAAGAAGTCATTTTTTACACTTCGTTTCACTTGATTTCCAGTGTTCATGGACATTGGAAAAACGATTTTCTCATTTTTTCGTTTTTGTTTTTGATAGGATAACAGATCATACTTTAATACCCTGACCAACAATGCTCCTCGATTCCATGTACATATCTTTTATACAGAATGGCAAGGCAGAATAAAGGCGCAACATTCCCGCCTTGAACATGCTGTTTAAAAGGGGGGCTGCATTTACAGACACACTCAAAAAGTAAATACACACACACACCTTCATCCTGGGAACTTTCTTGTCACTGCCTTCCAGGTCCTTGGCTGGTAGAAAGGGAATCCTACTTATCTTTTTGTTCTGCTCACGGACCACATTTGAATACAGCTTCTGTCGTTTTATTTTTTCAGCATGATGATGGTGAAAGAGTGAGAGGGAGTGAGAGAGAAGGGGGGGGGGGGGGGGGGGGGGGGGGGGGGGGACAGAAGCAGATTATAAAAGGGGGTTTAATTAACTGAGCCATTTCTCCCTTAAGGCCCTTCCCTTTGTGCATCCCCTCGGCAGAGCCTCTCCACCTAGCCCAACAAAACCAAACACAGCTAGCCATTCAGCGGGCCTATCCACATTTACACATATCATTCACTAATAGGTTTGGCCCTGGAGATGCACAGGACTCAATCTAGTGTAAATTGGCCAAACATGCTCACTTTTTACAACTGGGGATTAACAAAAGATATATCAAAGCACAAAGAGCACTTAACTTCTTTGGGGTACTCTCATTTGCTTTGTATTTGCAATTTTATCGGTGGAACAGCACGGGGGCCTTTAAATGATGAACTCAGACAGAGGGTCAGTGGATACACAATGACAGTAGTGGACATCAGGATTTAGGCACAGGAGACTAAAAAACAGCTAATCATGTTTGTCCGAAAAGAATTCTAATCACATTTTTTTTCCATACGAGTCCCTCCTTATAGCTTATATTGCCTAACAGCAAATCAATATAACATCCTGCTATGTAGGGAAACATGTTCTTCTCTATCATCCTCTCTTTTATGGCTAGAAAAGGCAGCGAGGTTCTCAAATATAGAAAGCAGAAAAATGTAGTTGCTACATACCAAAGTCAACACTGGGATTTCATCCTCATATTAGCGAAAAGCTCTATAATTCATTTTTAAATGCATGGAAAAAATACAAGACGGCTAACATGGAAGTTACAGGGGTTGATGTGGCTTCTTTCTGCCCAGTGGGAACAAATTCCACATCCACTTCATTCTGTCTCTCTCTCAATCGGTAGTTTGTTTCAGTTTTCTGTTTTGAACTTATTCATCTCCTGGCAGTAAGATTACCCACACCTTTCTACATGTGTTCAGAATAAGAAGACTTTAGAGAGCATAAGATGTGCTGCCAAATGCAGAAGCACCTTTCCGTGGCCAAACACAGATGTGGCTGTGTGTGAATTTGTGTTTGCATCTGTTTTTGGAGGTCTGTCTGTGGGGGCTTAGTTTTACCAATAGCCCTTTTAAATGTTCAGATATATTTATTCTTTCGTAATTTTTACATCTTGCTTATAATGATTTTTCAGTTTACATACCCTAAATTGCCCTTTTTATGATAAATTAGCCACTCAGCATCATCCATCTTCAAGATCCTGAAGTTTGATTGGATCTGTATTTTTTGAATGCAATCAATTATACACTTGATGTCTGTGTAAAAACCCTGACCTCAGTTGTTTCCAATATAATTTTCTGATCATATTCCACACATCTTGTCTCCATGTTCTCCACATTCTTTACATCACAGTAACATGAATACATTTTCAAGGAAAATACAACCAAGTCTGACATATCAGCAGCTGTAATCCAAAATACAGGAAGTGGTACCACCCTCCAAACACCAAGGGCAGTCTAACCAGCTTACAGCCATGTTGATCATGCATTTTGTGTACGCAATTTTTGGATCTGTGTGCAGAGTTTTTAAAAAAAAAAAATAGACCTAGTTTTGAAAATGTTTGAAAAACCGGTTGTAAAAAACTGTACTTGTAAATTCGCACAATATAATTGCTGTAGGTGAGTAAATAAAAAATTATAAACATGGAACTATGCATAATAAAAATAGACAAAGAAAAATATGCAATCAAACTTAGAACATAGTATATTTATTTATTTATTTACTATAGAAACTGTAACATAACATATAATTTTTTATTCATTTTACTTGTTTTATTCTTATTTATTTTACTTATTGCTGCCTGTTGTTCCTTGTATTGACCAAAGTATGCTGACGTGTTGCTTCTGACATATAATTACTTTTTACTGTAAGTTGTGTGTATGGACTGGGTAAGCTATAAAAGAATTGTCCTTCTTGGGATAAATAAAGCTGTCTTAATCAGAAACTGAATCTGAATAGCACCAATTATAGTACAGTAAATTCACACTACTTACAGTATATATGTATATACTATATATTGTGTGTGTGACTAGCCTTGCTCTTTCATACATGATTGAAGAAAGATTAAAGTGATTTGTTTGAGAACACGAGTGCAATGCATGACTGTATCAAAGTGAGTGAGAGATTTGTTTTTCTATCTGACAAATGTACGATGACAAATTAATCGACACAATGAGAAAACATCTTTGGCAGTGAAATATGTGTGGATACAACGGCAGATTGCACAAAAGCAATGAGAAAATCAATTTGTGTGAGGAAATGATGAACTGTTTTCAGAACTGCATTAAGAGTGGTGACAATGATGTTTCTGAATTGAGAATTGCATCAAAGCGATTGAGAAAAACTGTCTTGATAAATGAAGCCACATAAGTCAAAGAGTTACTGATAATTCTTGCTGATATGGTAGTGACTGGTGCTGCAGTTCAGTACTCACTGTCTTTTCAATGGCTGTGTAGTCAGGATGCAGGCCTCGCAGATCCATGGCTGTCTTCAGCTTCTTGTATGCCAGATAGATAGATAGATAGATAGATAGATAGATAGATAGATAGATAGATGGATAGATAGATAGATAGATAGATAGATAGAGGGGGGTTAAAATGGTACATTGCTGCACTAAATACAGTGATAGAAAAATGCCTGGCAGATGACATGAAAAGAGAGACAGAGGCTCTAAGTGAGTGACACTGTCTTCACCAAACATTTTGTAACACTCCTTTCTCTCCTCAGCTATTTGAGGAAGACTTTTTCACAGTGACCTTACATGCATCTAATTGGGGTGTTACTGACCTGATCAAGCCTGATTGTATTTCATGTGTAGCCACACACAGAAACTGATTTTATGTTTTTAGCTATGCTAGTGACATGGCTCCAGGGATAGCAATGGCAATGCCAAGAAATTTTGTAAGGATGCCTAGAGGATGTATCCTAATGACTTTGATAATCTTCTGTCTTTTCATCTAGCACCACCAGTTTTCTCTTATTCAGTGAATATCTCAAAAATTACTTGATGGATTGGCTCAAAAGTCTGTCAAGACATTCATGGTTCTTTCCCAGGCAACGCATCATAATGACTTTTCTAGTGTCAGCATGTCACTTATTACCATGTCTATGGTATTGAGTCAACTGTCTCAACAACTATCAGATGATTTGCCTGGAAATTTGGTTTAGATATACTGATATGTTCCCCTCAATAACTAAGTGATCTTAATGCTACTACTATTAACATTCCCATCAGCCGCATCTGTACTTTGTATTTAATGCTAATCATCAAATTTTAGCACAATAACAGACTAAATGAAGATGTTGATTGTGGTGAACCTGCAAACTGTTAACATCAACAGGTTGACACTGTCATTGTGAGCATAATAGAATTAGCATTTAGCTCAAAGCACCACAAAACCAAACTGCAGCCTCACAGAGACATGACATGGCTGTAGACTATTGGTATTCTTTAATGATACTTTTACATTAAAGTGATTATACACATGATCCTTGATTGTGCACTGCAGTTCAATGAGATCACCTCTCAATCAAACAATATGTTTACTATTGTTATTTAGATGGTAAATTTGTGTCACTGTAAAGGGTGCTCCTTTTATGTCTGCTCAACCATACTGGCTGTCTGAGTCATGCTAGTTATCCAATTTATTCAAAATAAAGCAGGACCCTATTATACTACTATACATTAGTTTATATGCACCAGTGTTTTTTCCTTAGGAAACCAAAAAATAAAAAAATAAAATGAAACAAATAGTGTATAGAGTGCACACAGTGCATGAGCTTTTAAAGGACTTTGCCACCATATACTGCATCACATACAATATTTCCTTATTAGGCTCCAATATGATACTGGGGTGCTTTTCTCAGGAACACTGATGGTGAGATGAATTGAACATGAATGAATTGATACAAGTCTTATGGGCAAAGAAATGATGACGGATGACAGATGTACTATATAGCGTTCCTTCACAGGTGCTGGAGATGATTTGTGTGTGACCATGTGTACATGGGTGCATTCAATCCACAAGCTGTCCCAGACAAAAGGGAGCTAATCATTCCAGATTGCACTGGCTCCTTTTAGGAAGGAGGATTTCAGTTTGCTGGACACAACAGGGTACCTTTCTTTCCAAGCCCGCTCCCCTCTCTCCCCAACCCCTAAGTCATGCTCATCTGCTTTCACGCAGCCAGACTGCTTTACAAATTGAGCCTGTAATCTTGTCAGACATGATGGCTAACATGGTGGGAGAGATGGAAGGTCAAGGGGTGTTCCTGTGGTGTTAGGCACCACAGGAGGACTATATGAAGGCTCCAGTGTGAATGCAACCCTAAGCATTTAATCATATGTTCTAGCCTTTCTTGGGTCCACCTATCTGAACTGTTCGTTGGTAGGTGATGTAAAAATGATACAGCAATGTTATTGTTAACATTATTGGTTTTGTTGTCATAGTAAGGAACAATAAATAGGATGCATTATACATATAATCAATCAATGTCTCTGTTCATGCCAGAATTGCCTGCAGTTGGTGTCCTAATGCTGTTGGGAATCATTTGGAAAGTTTGTCCTCCAACCTAAACAAACATATGGTGGTTTTTTCAACAACCATATAATTTGTTTTTTCATCCCTCTGATACGACCAATAGGAGTATCTCCTGAAATAGCACCCCTATGGCAGCATGTGTACCGGACCTCAGTTGTCATGGTTACCATAATAAACAAGGCTGTACCGAGAGTGGCGTACCCAATGTTGCCGTGGTTACTATGATAACGGTCATGGCTTGGTTAGGTTGAGGCACAAAAATTTCTTGGTTAGGTTTAAGCATTAAAACTATTTGGTTAGGGTTAAGAAACAATCATGATTTGGGTTAAAATAAGTAGTTCCTCAACATCAGATGATCTTTGCTGTCATGGTTACAATAATAACAACGAAGGGTCATGGATAATAAAAACAGTATAAACTACTGGTTTCACATGGGAATCAAACACCAATCTCCTGTGTCATATTCCTGTGTTTTGTTGACCCATCCATCCACCCCAACTTCAGCCTATGTGGATTTTGTCACTCTTTATACTATGTAACCGCACTTTTCCCTTTGCTCCTGTCATAATTACTACGACCACTAGATGTTGCCTGACAACAAAATGTAACTATGGAATATGATAAGCTGCTGCACAAATGACCTGCGGGCTCGTTTTTCACAGGAGGACAGCCTCGAGATCCCATAATTTACTTGTGTTATGGCAATTAAAGCACAGCAGTGAAAATGCTATGTTTTAAATATCATATATATGTTTGTATGTAGTCCGTTTACAGCAGTGCTGTGGTTGATTTCACCTGTAACACTTCACTAGAACAACATTAATTATATTTGCAGTAGTTAACTTGCACTTTAATTTAATAACTGCTAACGAGAACTAAATTTGTCGACCCAGGAAAAGGCAGGTTTGCTGAGTCACTTTCCACTCACTACTGCACAGTTCAGTCCCATAAACCAGAGAGGGGAGAAAACAACAGCAGCCAAATCATTAAATGCAAATGGGCTTCTTTAGTGGCCCTGCACCTCACAGACTCTCTCCCCTCTAATCACCTTATCCTCTAACACATCTTCAAATGGCTTTCAGAGCCTGTAGCTCTGTGGTTTATATAGTCATCATCTTATAGCAATTAAGTGTATCTTAGTGGCGCTAGACAATTAACCTGATGTTTTATGCCCTCTGTTACCAGAGCACTCCTGCTGGATTATGCAGTCCCTGCATGGACACAGCTGAGGGGATTATTTGGGACTTCAAAGGGGAATTTATTTGTGTAACCTCTCGTGTATGTGGGGATTAAAGGTGAATGCCACTCAACTGAAGAATTCATGTCACTTTTGTTAAATGAAACTGCATAATGTGTTCTTATTTTTCTAACTTGAACATGATTATTCAGTATGTGCTGAATGAGTTTTCCGGCCCTGTTTAAAACACAGTTTAAAAATGCTAATGAATTAAGTACATCACAGTATCTTTACACAGCAGCAAAACAAAGTTATTCCAAGTCATTGAGCGTTTGTGACGCAGCATTAAGAACCAGAGTGCAGTCTAAATAACTGTCACCACTGAAGGTCACATAAAGGATTTATTTGTTAATGATGGGAGTAAACATTTTTTATGGTGTTTTTGGACAACACATTTTCATTGAGACTAGTGCCAACCACTCTATAGCCCAGTGGTTCGCAAACTTTTTCACATCAAGGACACCTAACGTGACACAAATTAGACAACGGACCCCCATTTTGTACCAGGGTCCCGAATCCAATAAGATTTTTGCTTTTAGGTGTTTTATTCCAGAAAGTGTTTGAAACCCATGACTAAAATAGTCTCACATTCTGTCATTGTATGTATGTATTGCTTATGGAAGGAATTATAGTGAAAACAAATCATTCACCTTTTTTATGAGGAGCTCCCTCAAGTACCGCTGGGGGTCCCTGGACCCCACTTTGAGAACCACTGGTATAGACAATGTATGCAATGCACCCTAATCGTGAGCACATCTAGTGCAGGAATGACAACAGGTATGCTTTCTGAATACTCAGTGAAGGATATTTTGGTTTTTATCTGATTAGATGTCAGACACAGAGACGGTTTCAGACACACAATAATAAGCACAAACATGTTGACAAACTCACAGAGAGCACATACCTTGTTAGTAACTCTTGCCCTCAGCTGCTTCAGCTTCTCCATCTGAACCAGGTAGCTGTCGGAGCTGTTTCCATGGATGGGGTTGACCGTATTCACACTTTGACAAGGGCTCATCTTAGGCTCTTTTCTTGTCATTGGCTTCCCTATAGGTGGAAGAACTCTGCACGAGCCCAGGCCCTGTGACGAGGCAGTAGTTGGTGTCCTGGTAAGGTTTTGTGGAAACTGTTTGGTGTGAACCTCATTTAAACTCCAAGTCTGGTCATCACCTTCACAGGATGGCCACTGTAATGCAGTTGTCCTGAAACACAACTTACTGGTTACTGGTGGATTGGTGAATGAAGGGCACCATTATAATAGATAATGATCATGATAACATTTTCATACAGTTTTTTAACTCATTTTCTTTGTGTCAGTGCTAGTGCTGTCATTTTACATAGACTACAAGTTTAGTGTCATTTCAATGTTACTTGAAATGTTATTCGATGCTGTAGTCATCCAGTTTTTTCTACAGGATCCTCAACATGTAAAATCTTTCTCACCTCTGGTCAATAACAAACAGTATAAGCGGTTTACCTTTGCCATTGGTTAGGGCCACTCTCCAGGTTTCGGGGATGAAGCTGTGCATTTAGCCCTTCCCGAGACATGTGGGAGGACTTTCCTGGATTTGTTAGTTGACACCCTGGGTACAAGGCAAGTTGAACATCAGATGTGGGGCTCCAATGAGGACGACCATGAAGAGATGCTAAGTTGATGAAGGCATCCTGGCCCTTCTGCTGGAGTAATGAAAGAAGATTGGATGATGTGTTGAGGTTGACGTTGAGGTGGATGGTGGGGGGCAAAGGCTGTGATGAGGCCATCTTTTGAGGTTTTGGCTGCGTTACATCAGCTGGCCTTGCTAAAAGGGAACTCAAACAGTCTCCCAGCTCAGCTTTGACCACCACGGCAGGGGATGGCTGCTGTCGAGAGAGGTTGGGGTATTCTTTCCGCTGGGCTTTTTTCTCCTTGTTGATCTGGGTGATCTGAGGTAGTAGTAGAGTAGGATTAACAGTTTGAGGATAACATTTGTTCATTAATGTAGTGCATATAGAGTGCACAGGGGTGTTAATTCACAAAACCCAAACATATGTCCATATGTCCACTGTTTCTGAACATTTACTCCTCTGCATTTCTGTGAAATGTGTTAAAGTTTAACACTACCTATTTCTGAAGGTGGTGTGAAGCACAAAGCTCCAACTCTAAATTTACCCATATTTACAACACAAACAAAGCAACAACAGACAAACAAGAGCTCTGAGTGAAAGGCACAATTCTTTCCTAAGAATAAGAAGGGCTGGCACTCTTCTTTGCATGAACTGAGCAAATTATGTTGCACAAGGTCTATGAGCATGTATCTCATGCATCTAATGCCGCTGATTTGGCAAACGCCAGCTTTTCCCATTCCACTGAGAAAACATTAACACTCCTCTGCTTGGCAGTGTTAAGGTGGCTGCTCAAGTGCTCAAAATAATAATGCTTCTCCAACCCTCTCCTTTTTCACTCCGACTCCTCTTTTTGTTTTGTTTTTTTTGTTTTTTTAACCGTCTCTGTCAAGCTCCAGTGAAACAATGCCATCAGTGACTGAGTCCACATTCCCTAAAGGAAACTAAAAGCCAGGGTACTGTGCAGCAGCTAGATGATGTTTGTTAGAACGTAGGCAACCAAGCTTCCACACCCACAATACTGCAAAACAAATTAGATTTTATTTGATTTTTGTGGTGTTGTTTGGGATGACAGTGTCAACCAAGTGAAAAGAATAGAGGAGGGGTCCTACCCATAACTGCTGTGTTTTCTGGAGCCACACCAGCTCGGGGGCTGAGCTGTCCTCCTGATTTTCTGCAGTGGCCGTGTCCTTAAGAGTTTCATGCACCTTTAAACAGAACACAAAGGTAAAGCGACATGCTGATACAGAAGCAACAAAACAAAAACAAGTCCTTCATATTTTTCCTGTCTATACACCGGAACAAATATTTTCATTAAGACCAGTGCCAGCCTATTGACACCTATACAGGGGCATCAATATTGCATCCATAACTATCAATGCCTGTCTTCTTCATTTCAATTTAATATTACATTAATATACTATTGTAGTTGTTCCTAATGTATCTATTTCTGGCATGGAATATGTTGTGTTAATGCTGTAATGAAAAATCATTTTGTTAACTCCAGGACTTCCCCCAGGGGCAGAGGACCATCTGAGTGGATCGATGGTATTGACAGGCTGAAGACTTTTCACTGAATACCTCTAATTCTGTGTGGTTGAATAGGTGAAGGTCAGGAGGAACAAGTGGATCCAGGTGTAACACATCTATCAAGTGTGTTTGCAATTTCATCTAACAGGCTGAAATGTTACGATTATTCTGAGAACAGAAAGATTCTGGGCTCTAATGGACAAACCACCCAAACCTAACAATGTTTCAATAAGTTAGCTGTATGATCCTTTGTCTACAGCTTTCAGGCTAATTTTGATGTTTGTTCAGTAATTGAACTATACATTAATTCACAAACAAAACAGATGGATCTTTTGTTTTCCAAATGACTTTTAGAAATTTGGATGCTGTTACAGATGAACGAGGACAGAGCAGCTGTTTGAAGATCAGGAGCAGGTGTCAGTGACTACTGTATGTCCACCAGTATATACACACACACACACACACATACACACAAACACACAAACACACACACACACACACACACACACACACACACACACACACAAACACTTTGTACCTCTCACCTTTACCCATTCCCCCTGCCATTGCCTTTTGTCACCCATTATAAAAATCCCAATCAGTTGAGAGCAAATGATAGGCCTGTATTGCATTTAGAGCATGGTAAGCTGTGTAATATCTTTTCTACTAAATTGGGAGGCCCGTAATTGCTTCTCTGCGAGACGATGTCACAACAAAGTCTGGCAATTGCAGCTAGTGTATTACCTCCTGTACCCGGGAAACATCTGCTTTTCGCAATGAAGACTTCAAAGAGACTGTGGATCTTGAATTGCATTTAGCTGCTATTGTGGCCTGCCCAGGTAATCTTGATTAGGTGTTTAGGCCGAGGCAGGGTATACAGTGGCAGAGAGCTCCCCAGAGCTTTGGTCTAAAGCTATTAAAAGATTGTACATTATGTTCCCCTGGCTTTGAAGTGAGGGCCTGCAAGAGGAGAAGGGACTCTGAGGGCTGAGTGCAATAGCAGAAGATTGATCTGCTACTTCTGTCTTTATCAAAGGAGGCCTATGCCCCGTTGGATCCAATCATTGCTACCGCCACTCTGCCACTTGTCCGGGCTAAACATTTGCTGCATTAGGAAGTTGTGTACATTTAATAACACGTCTAATTATAACAAGTTGCCTTCAGATGGCCACTCTCTTCAAAAGACCAAATGGGTTATTTTAAAAGGGCCTTGTAACAACTGGCTCGTCTGGACTCATATTGATTTGTGAAACTGATGCGATTTGTACATGTGGAGTGTTGCTATCTTTTGCAAGTGGAAACAGACAAGGAAGAGCTGGAGGACGCAAAGGACGCTCTGTGATAAAAGTGATGTGTGGTTATCCTAATTACGAATGAATATTGTTTTTGGCTTTTAAGATGTCTTTCTCTAACCTTCACTATTAAGATTTTTCAAAAATCTAACATATGTATTATTTCTTTGATCTTCAAATATTTAATTTAGTGTGTGTGAAAATAAACTGCCCTATTTCAAAACAAGAGACCAGAGAACAAAACGTCAATCTCACCGAGAGACATAAACAGAGGAGGCTGCCTTAATAACAAACTAGAAACTGTTACTCTGTAGACAGTTTGTGTATTTAATTTCAGGTTAACAAATTTCACCTTGAGCTATTGCCACTAATCACTTAATTCAGTGTCCTATTCAATAATTATCCAAGGAGAGGTTCCATGATGTTGGTTTCTAAAGAGTCTTGGATCTTGAACTGTCCAAGTTCATACAACTTTCATGTGTTAATTCAGTTTTAGGGTGGATTGTTTCTGTAAGCACGCTAATCACAGTGCTACAGTAAAAAACAGACTTTAAGGAGATTTGTTCTTATTACAAAATATGGTTTTAAAAAATGACTTTGTTTTGAGCCGATTTCTGATAAGCTTTGTTGATATGTTACATTTTTGCCGTAACACATCGGATCAATTCATAAATTAATCCTGTAATGAAACAAGAAACAGACCAAATGCAAATTGGTGCCCCCTTCTTTTATGCCCTATGTCCCTCATTAAGTAAGAGACGTCTTTGGGGAGACGGAGAAATGGAAAACTAACAAGCGAATTCAGAGGGAAAACGACAAAACACAAGGGTTGAGGAGAGGGAAAGGCTCTGGCTCTGTTTACCATTGCACAAAGCTAACGGCTCTTGACTATGTAAATGGTGATGATATGAGACATTGTAGAGGGCTGGGGCTCAGATGGGTGAACAAGGTTGTTGGTATTATAGCCAGCAAACAGTCTTGTGGCCCAACAAATGGGGAATGCGGGCCATCCTGACCAATTATGCCACTGTGCCAGGTGCAGGGATGTCTAAGAGCCTATTGGTAACCATGCGTCTCTGATGTTCTTGTTGTACACATCAGCTCATAATAAGCACTGCATAGCCAGACATGGCCCTTTTCATAAGGTGGAGGAGAAGGCAGATGAAAACAGCTATGCTCCTTTGCCAAATTAATTTTCCAGACTGGGTCAGAGAAAATATCATAGAATATAGGCATAAGCATAAGCTCGGCTGATGAAGAAGCAAGGAAAGAAGGAAAAATAGAAGAAAAAAAACGAAGGAGCTTGTGCTATATTCTGCTCATGAGACAAGCTGCATTCAAGCAACTGCCCATTAATAGTGTCCAAGATTAGAATAAGCTTTCAAGAGTAAATATACTGACACTTGGCTACGTGCATAGTAAATACAGATATAAAAAATACATAGCATATATTCAGCATGTGCACTCACAAGCCCCACAACTGACCTCTATGTTTAAAACATCTTAACATTGTTAGAATGTAGCCAGGGTGCAATGGATTAAAGTCCCTGCAAAACACACCACACCACTATCATCAGGATCACCATCATTTAATAATACTACAAAAACTATAGTTACTGCGTAAAATGCAAAACATCTCAATCATAACTACAACCTCATCTCCTCTGTGCATTTCTGAAACAAAAACAACCTAAATTGTAAAACGAAAAAGCTCCTTCAAAGAGGCCAGTACATTAAATAGATATAGTTAATCTGTCCATCACAAAACAATGACCTGTAAGGATGTTACCAAACAGATCACAAAAACACAATGTAAACTGTCACAGTTTAAACTGGGATTTGAAGCACTTATATATTCTATCCCAGTATTCCCAGTGGTCTGTCCCCAGTCAAACTTAATCGTCAGTCATGCAACTGTAACAATAGCGCAGCAGTCCAAGATTCATTATCAATACTAGTGCAGCTCCTGGTGTCTGTTTCTGTAATTGCAACCTGTTTGAAGAGAATGCCTGTTTGAGGGTGACCAGTACTGTGCTGTTGTCACATTTCAAAGGTCAAATTCTTATTCTGTGATTAATAAGCACAAGCTGTTGGTTGAGAAAACTACATTCTGTATGCACCTCACTCACATTAATGGGCATCTGCTGTTTAAGTGAATACACCCTCACATAGGAGCCACGTTTGGATGTGCTGCGCCCCAGGGTTATCTTGTTGCGTTCCACTATGTCCTCCATGGGTCTTTCTAGCTTCTTGTTCGATAAAACATCATGACTTGTAAATTTGGGTGTGTTCGTTTTCTGGATGGGTCTTCCTTGTGCACATCTCGGTTCTTCCTGGTAGTGGGTCTGAAATTCTGTAGTATCAGTTTCTGGTGATCTGCATTGTAAAGCACGGTTGTGACATTGGGTGGATGTTACAGAGTTAGTCTGACCATCTTGTGGGTGTAGGAAATACGGCTGGTCAGACTCACTGCCAGCCATTTGAGGTGTCACCATAACAGCTTGACTTGTGTCTACACTGTATCTGTATCCTCCTTTTATTTCCAATCCCCGTCTGTCACCACACGACTGACTAGAAATCTCCTCAGGGACTTGGTAATATTTCTCAACAGAAATCTGTGGACGCTCATTGAAGTGGCTGTTTCCCTTCAGCTTGGTCCTCCAGTTCGGGTCATAGCGCAGGTCAGAATATGCATCATCAGAGAGCGGCCAGCTGCGAGGTTAGAGAAAGACAATAGAATAAAGATTATTTGCTCAATACAACCAGCCTAACACTGATATTTGCATCAGTAAGTCATAGCTCTATTACTAAGCTTAATTAACTATACAAATAAAAAAATAAGAAACTTAATGCAGTTATAAAACAATATATTCATGTATTTATAGTATAATTTTAATTTCATTATTAATAATTGATTTAATTGTTGGTAAGCAGCTTTATCAATGATATTTCCATATCCAAAGGAAGTTTTACAGACACCTGAATGCCACATAATCCTGTACCGAGAGGTCAAAGGAACAAGAGGCATTATACCATTATTAGAATGATGATGTCCTCAAACAAAGTATTAGGCCTTATCAGAGACTTCTGAAATTGAAACAGATGAGGGGGATTATGAGCCTGTATTTACAGATAATTTTCGTATTTTCACCTCCAGGCTCACTAATGAGAGTGTATTTGAGAGCTACTAGCGGGGGAATGGTTCACAAACGGCAATTTTCAGCTTATGAAATGGCTTGAAAATTGCAGGCTAAAATGCTCTTTCTGATGGTGATGAAAAGATCTCATTAAACTAAATAGCAGAGAGCCTCTTTGTTGTGCTTACTGGGAGGACGAGGGGAGTCTAATTCTCCTGCCGTGATGTTGTGCATGGGGGGGGGCGGGTTGCCTAGGTGTAGGGCCCTTCACTTCGATGAGGCCAAAAGGGTAAGGGATGTCTCTCTAATGGCTAAGACTCAAACAAGTTGTAGAATGCATTATAGACAACATTCAGCTAGGCGTGATGCCTCTAACACATGGCAAAATACCACAGCCCATTATTTCTTGCCCAAGATACAGAAGCCTAAATACAAAAGCTAGTGAAATGTAGTGACAAACACTGAATGGGAAAACGAAAAACTGGTCATGCAGACTATACTCAAATATCCTTTTGCAATTTTGGAGTGAGATATGAGTAAAATATAGTGAGGAGGGATGAATGGAGTTGCTTAAATAGGAATCTTTTGCTTGAATAAGGAATGCCCATTGGGTTTGTAAACTATGCAATGGCTTTGTGTGAAAAGGCTTACCCGCTTTGAGGAGGCAGTAGAGGACTATGAGAACATGATAATGGAAATGAGACTGTGTCCACTGCCTTAGTTCTATGAAATGGAACCTTTTGTGAGAAAATGTCATGTTCATTTTCCTCTGAAACAATGTACTTTGGAAGCGAACCCACACTTGGTGGGCATCAATCTGCACAGGTTAATGACGGGAAAATGGAGAATGGCCTTTTTCTATTTTGGAGGGAGATGACTATCAGACGGGGTCTGAAGGAAAGAGAAGAGGAAACAACGGTACGAGTTGACAAGATTGCAAAAACAGATGAGGTGTTGTCCCCACCATAGATGCCTACCTCACTCCCTCAAAAGAGTGAAAGAGAGATCTCCTTTACAGCAACAATGATCCACGTTAATGGACCACGAGTGACCACTTATTGTGATTCACCCAAACAAAACAAAAATCTCATTTCCCTCAAATGAAAGCTGTTATTCTGAAAGCACCATTCTCACTAAAATGTATGATTGGTGCCTGCATCTCATTAAATCACTGACACAGTTTCATTGTTAAGTGGTGAATGAATGCTATTTATCTTTTATCATCCATGTGCTGTTTAAAAGTAAAGGGTTTGATTGCTGCTGCATTCTCCTCGTTGTACTCCATCTAAGCAGCACTATTATCAGCTTAATTTTAATTAATTTGCCACAGACAGTGAAAGTGACAGTCCAGTTCAATAGGCAAACTGAACAAGGTCAGGCACAAATCTAACTGTGGTGAACATCTTATATTATGTTACATGTTTATAGAATTATTGTAATAGACAAGGCTACACAGCCAATGATGTGATCAGTTAGATTGTCTCTACAACAGTGTCTATACCCTAATCATCTCGACAACCATCCAAAGTGAAATTAAGATTTAATCACAAAATAACAAATAATTCAGTCATTTTTTTCACTATTTTCACCAAGAAATAAAGCAAACGCTGCAGATTCTATTTTAACAGTCAGCCCTTACACGCCACTAACATCAATTACTGCCATCTACTGACCAAACTGCAGAACTCCATATCAGAATTAGCAATACATATAGAGTCAGTTAATGGATATGTCTCTGTGATGTCTGGTGATGCCAAAAGGAACATGTATTGTGTGTGTGTGTGTATCCAAAGCCTGGTATATCTCACTCTCCCATTGCGTGGAGCTCAATGAGCCAGACTGCTGCACTGAATGACATGCTCCTTCATTACCATGAACACACACAGTGTAGCTTGATTAGATTCAATCCCACACACTCTGTCCTGTTGCCATATATGCCTATCATTGCACCAAATGCACTATATACTCATGTTTTTAATTGCAGCTTAGCTGTTTTAGAGAATAACCAAATTGTTTTTAAGGTACAAATCTATGACTCATTTTTAAAGATTTATCTCCTCAGTAGGAACCAATGGGTTTCAAGCTCAGAGCCATGGACATGGTTGGGAAGCCAGAAAGTACTGAGAGACTGACTTCACTCTGATTGAACTTTGACCTGCAAAATCAGGAGCCTCTGCAGTTAGTTTGAGAGAGAGAGGTGAAACCGGCACTCTTCAGGAAATATAGATTGTTTATATTCTCGTTTTATCACTGCACTGCAAAATAACAATAGCAAGCATATAGGAGATGCTTTCAGACAGATAACCAATGGAAGTTGGAAGTTTTTTGTATTGTCTGGTGTGTAAAGAAATAAAGAGGAAAACTCATTTAAACTAACTTATAAACAAAGTTAGTGAGGGTGTCTGATTTTTCCATTTACATGACTGAATGAGTCAACCTCAAACAAAAATATATATATTCATGATCTGATTATATTCTGATTTTTGTAACTCTTGTACAATCATGGAAAATGTTTAACATTTTGCCTATAGTTTTGTTATTACACTTAGTATCACTGATAGCCATTTACCCAATTTGTAAATCTGGAAGTATGTACAGTGGGGTCCAATAGTCTCAGACCATTTTCCCATTCAAGTGAATGGGAAAGTGGTCTCAGATTTTTTTTAATCTGTTTTTGTCATACCAGTTTTGATAATAAGGTTTTCCTGTTCATTGTAACTGTTCTGTTGTTCCACTAGGTGGAGCCACATGAAATAAAATCATGAGTAAGAATCACCTTCCAACAGGGTAGCATTTGTTTATGAAATGCTAAAATCTCATTTTTACAAAGATTTAAACCTCCAGTTTTCTTGAATATGTTTCTGGGGATGTGAAACCATGTAGATTTAGTCTGTGGCATAAAAGTGTTCCATTTTAGTTTAAACACTCCAATAATAGATTCAAAATTTATTTTGAAGATAATACATTTGCTTCTCCATCTAAAATTGTAGTTTACAAAGTTGGCCTTTTAGATATTTTGAGAAGCAATATATGAAGAGTGATATGGATTAGCTAGTTATGATACACCCGGAGATTTGGCCAATAAACTTCAACCAGAACTGAATACAGTGCAATCAGAAAATACTCAGACCCCTTCAAGTGTTTCACATTGTTATGTTGCAGCTTTATGCTAAAATTAAAAAAAAAATAAAATAAAATTCCCTCATCTACCATCAGGTGCCTCCCATTTTTCTTGATCATCTTTAAGATTTCTACACCTTGTTTGGAAAGGCACACACCTGTCTATATAAGGTCTCACAGCTGGCGCTGTCTGAAAAAGCAAGCAAAAACCAGGCCAGGATTTCACGTTAATATACAAATTATTGTTAAGCAATACACAAATCTTTCTTTCATACAGACACATTTCTGAAATATCTGTCATATGTTGCTTGTTTTAAGATAACAGTGAGTAAAACTGCCTTTAATATAGTATTAAGTATTGTCGTCTTGCAAGGCACCACTGGACACCTCACTGTCACTGTAATTGTCATTTAACCTCAAGCCAAGAGAAATAAGAGTGAAAAATTAAGTAAATTCCTCTATAGAAGCTCGAAATTAAAGGAGAATGCGATATAAACAATGCATATCGCTTGGCATCATGTTTTGCCAAACGACGAGCAGAGGCTACAATAGGCTGGAATAGGCTATGAACTAAGAAGAAACTACCAACTGCATTTCTTGTGTTTACAATGATCATTAAAACATCGTTAATCTGTTATTCATTTCATTAACTGTGCAGATAATAAAGCAAATAATTTTTGTTCAAATACTTACCTATTTCCCTCTGTCACTAGTCTACGCAGCACTGCAACCATGGAAACATGATGCAAACATGCTTGTACACATGTTGCCGACATGATTTCCGAGACTCGCGAGGAGGCGGAGATAAGTGGTTGGGGTTGGGATCAGTTGGGGTCAGGTTAAGCATCGGAAAACATGACTGGGGAGAAGTATGGGCAAGATTAACTTCGTATTAAGGTAAAGATAAACACCTGAAGACGAAGACTTTACCCTGAATCTGCTGTCGAGTTTATATGGAATCAGATTTGTGCCAGTATTATCAAACAAAACTAGGAATTTGAGAGAATAAAACTCAATCAAACAGAAAAAAAAAAATATCTCAAAGTAAAACGTATAACTTTTAAACAAATGATATCGTGTAATTGTGTAAACTATTAGTCTTTTACTTTTTTGATAATAAGTCCTTTTGCTTACAGTTCCATTTACTTCTTTCTCACTGATCACACAGACTTTTGCTCTCACTGCCGGATTTACGGTTGCTCTGCCAGCTCTCTCCTCTGCGT